CATGTCTCTGTGTGTATACATGTGTGTGGGTGCATGTCTCTGTGTGTGTATGTGTGTGTGGGTGCATGTCTGTGTGTGTGTGTGTGTGTGTGTGTGCTTTGCCGCTCTTGTTTTTACTGACATCAGAAACAGCCTTTGACAGTCGAGGGCCCACTGTCCTAGGTGTGGTGGTTTGGAAGGGACTGTCCCCTGTGGTTGTCCCCGGTTGCTGGTGCAGTTTTGGGAGGTTCTAGGACCTTTGGGGGGGTGGGTCTAGCTGGAGGAAGGGGGACTCTGTGGGGTGGCACTGAGGTTTATGGTCCCAAATCCCCACGAGAGATGCCATAAAATAAAAGAGCATGTTCTAGAAAGGAAATTAAGCACAGACGCTGACCCTGAGGTTGGAGGAAGGAGAGGAGCCAGGAAACTCAGACAGCCAACAGCAGGGCCGTGGTGAGTGTGGGCAGAGGAGAAAAGTGGGCTCTGCTTGCCGAGTGGGGCCAGGGAGGTGCATGTGGGGCCTTTAGGCCACACTGAGCAGCAGATTCTTCTGGGACTGGAGGAAAACACCCCCTGCCTCCACATATTATGGCTATACACTCCTTGCATGAGGACAGGAGACTGACTTCACACCCTGGACTGACAAGAGTGGCCTGTTCCTACTTAAGCAAAGGAGGACATCGAGTCTTCCAACATGTGCCTGGGACATTTACTCACTGGCCTCCTCCATAAAGCTGAGTTGGCACTCCGTGTCACTTTGCAACTTCTGAGGTCAGACACCCGTCACTGAGGAGGCCGCCTGTCACCCCAGGGCGCTCCTAGTCTGAGGTCCTGAGAAGTGAGTGCTCCTCACGGGAGTGAGTGTGTGGGTTTGTGTGCCTGTGTGTCTCACCCACACAGCTTACTTGATCTGAGCCCAAAGGCTTTTTGTTCAGCAATGTGTGGGGTTGGGGGCCGCAGAGGCTGACGCGTGTCCGGCTTGGTCCCGTTGGCAAAGTCGGTGACCCCTTAGATATGACATGCTCAGTTAAGATGCAGGAGTCTTGCGGCGCGCTCCTGTGCACCAATAGGTGCGTTTAGCAGCTGGTGAGTGAGGTCTTCCGAGACACTTGGTCTCGGAGAGGTGATGGTAAGTCCTTGAGCCTGCAGCCCTTTCTCTAAACCGCTGTCGAGTTGGGGCGGGCCATTTTGAACTCGGAAAGAATAGAGAATTCAGTGAGAGGGGATGATGGAACGCTGGCGCTGCTTTCGTCTCTCCCTAAGAGGCCGGGCAGCTTGGCGTGGATGCCTCATCCCTTCACAGTTCTCCGCTTTAAAACGTCAAGATATAGGGAGCTAGTGGCAGGAATCAGAAACTTTTTATATCCCTACACCCTTTAAAAAGGAGGCAGAAGGCGAGAAGCTGCAATATGTATTTTGTCTTTGATTGTGTGTGTGTGTGTGTGTGTGTGTGTGTGTGTGCACGCGCGTGCACGCGCAGGTCAGGAAACAGACCATCTCACCAGTGTCAGGCAGAAGGCTTTCCAATCAAATCCTGCCGATCTTTACCAGGTCATAACCGTCTAAAGGAGCCGGGGCTGGGTGGCTGAGCAGGCAAGCCGGCTGCTGCTCAGGCACAGGCCCCTTTATCCGGTCCCCGGGGTGGTATGCAACCCGACCTGTCTTTAATCCCAGCTCCGGTGCCTTCTGTGTAAGGCTGCCTCTGACTCCTCCAGTAGAGGAGTAGAGTACTCTCTCTCTGAGTAGAGTCTTGCTGCCGTCACAGAGTACAGGGAAGAGGAAGAGTTGAGTCAGGTGGAGCCAAGGACGCTGGGACTACAGGAGTCTCTTGGTCCCCAGTACACATGGGGAAAAGACAGTCCAAGGTCGGAAGAGGTGCGGAAGAAGGGCTTGAGGACAAGGAAGTGCGTCCACTTTGAGTCTCCTGATTGGTTTTGTTC